AAAGCATATGATGCCTGTTTTAATATATGATTTGTTTAAATATAGGATCGAACTATCAAGTCATTCGCATGATAATTTGATGATAAATATATGCAGAATGCGGCCGTCAAATAACTAATTTAATCTTAGTTTGATCTTACATTTCAAACAAATATGTACTGTTATTTATATGACAAGGTTGTACGCCGTATGATCGCATGATTGTGTTTTTACGCCTTTTAACTGCACACAGTATTTCATACTCTCTTGTTATTTTACTCACAAGTCAAATTAATCTCGATTTTTATAACAATTGTTTTTACTATTTAATATATGCTTCCATAAAGTAATTTATCTTCTTGTCCATAACTATTATTTGAAATGATTTATTCAATGCTAATATAATTTCGATAAATTTTGATTTTATTTATGGAATTCAAGCGCACAATTATTATTGTCTATGAAAAATATTAAATTATCTTTGTTTATATTTTTACATTCGAAGATAAAACGTAATCTGCATGTTCATCAGTATATTTTGATATTTTCAATAAGTGGAGTGGATACCAAACACTTCTATTCTAAACAGGATCTAATAAACAAATAATTCACAATTTTGCATGTATCTGAAATCTGGCCCTTCAATATACAATTCAATAATTTTACAGATAAAATTATATAATTTGCCTCATTTACATAAATACTTACACGGCAATAGATATGAAATAAGTATTAATAGTTCACTCCTCTCCGATTCATCAAGTAATTTTCCTCGAGCAATGCCTCTTTATACTTTCACATAGCCAAGCCAAGGCGTAAGATGTTTTTCACTGAATTGCTTCATATCAAAATTAGCATTGTTTAAAATAATGTGAGATACCTTTTGACATGGTTCATCGTATCTTGTTGCAACTCCTAACTTTTAACTGAATGAAAGTTGCACAGAGGATTGAAAATTATATTATTGTATGTTGACTATTTGTTTAATAATTTTAGTATATGTATTTCTTTTATAGTTTTTGTAAATATTTTTTCAAATTTCCCACAAAATTCATAAAACCGTTGAAATTATATTTATATTAGTAACCGAACAGAAATGCGTAAGAATGGACCAATAAAATTTTAGAGTACTTTAATTTATCATATAATCAATCGTTTCATGATATATAAAAGTTAAGGTTTGTTTTTTAAATTGCTGACATTATTTGAGAAAAAATTATTGTCAAGGGTCTTTGCAGTTTTCGGTTTCACTGTGAATTTTCTTGCTAGAAATTTAATTTTTCTGGAAAATTATGTGGTTGTATCATATGCATTTAAGATTGGAATTGATCATTATAATATTGATGAATTTCAATATATCAAAAGGTACTATAAATCATTTATTTAAGAAAATATAATGAATATACTACTAAAATTTAAATACTAAACAAATATTCATTTTATTTATGTGATTATACTAGAATATTCTAAATTGATTATAACATATGAATATATAAATTATACATTAATTAATACATAGCATAAAATCTATATTAACGGAACATTTCGAGTATGTATATTGAAATAAGCACCTACTGCTCTTACAAGATGGAATCTTGGTCTATCTATGAAATAATTATTGATTGTCAATAAATACAATTAAAGGTCATAAATGCAAGACTAGAAGATGTTCTGAAAATTTAATTTATTTATATTTAAATTTGATGGATACGTTTCTAACTATAGTTAGAAATAATTCTGGTTTAGGAATATTTATAAATATTCCTAAAACAGAATTATTTTATGAAATTCAATCATCGGTAAACTGATTTCAATTCCAATAATTTCAAAGTTTATCATCTAACTTATTACCTTAATCTATGTATTTTTTTTAAAATTCATTATTGGATTATTTTGTTGATTGTTTTTTATGCTATTTAAATTTTCATAATACTTTCTATTGACCATTTTAATAAAAAAGAAAATCAGTTAAAACATTTCAAGAACATGTTTTACCTAACTCATAATAAAATTATTTGTGTGATATAAATATATTATAATATATTGAAATTTTATTTGGTGTTTTTTGCATCCTAAACTAAATTTCACGTTTCTTAAATGTTGTAATACACTTGATATACTTAGTTTCTGTATTTACTACTGCAGATTCAACATATTTAGCTTAATTCTTACATAAAAATATGTACCTTATGAAATATTGCTATATACTAGAAATATACCCTGAGATAATAATTCAACAATAATTAACAGCAACATATTGACCATTTTATACAATTTGTAATGCAACATTTGTACTGATTAGCAAATTTAAACTGACTGTTGAACAAAAAGTATTATTAAAATATGTAGTCTTTTCTAGTGCATCTTAGATGCCAAATTTTCAAACGTGAAGTTTTGATATCATAAAGTAGATATTGATGGCCAAATAGTCACAAGTATTTCTATCTCAATTTTCAATTGCAATATGGTAAATAATTAGATTATATTTGTTAATTTTATATGTAATTTTAGTTAATAATAATTATTTACGAGTCAAAATTATACTCTTTATTATGTAATGCCTAATAATGTATATATTTAATTTTAATATGTACTACATTATATAATGATTTTGTTATGTGGTGTTTTTTATGAAGTTATTATTATTATATGTGTATAGCTATTGTAGATAATATATATGCGAAAATGAATAAACCGGTATTTTATTTTTAACATAAAATAAACCCTAAGTAATGTATGATTTAATATTGTGACTTGACCAAATAGATGATAGTGAAAGATATACAGCAAATGTTTTCGGGCATCTATCCATTAACACAAGTGGCTTGTATCAAAGAGTTAACGTGGTCCATACAATCAAAATACCTCAGGTTTTTTAAATTTTTTTAATTAATTTAATTTGATAATAAAATTTTTTGTGTTATAACTATGTGTATATATTAATTAGTGTTTCTTATCTTTGTATTTTGTTCGAGTTATTTGTGTGCACTGATGAGTCAAACCAAGACTTGAAACGTAAGCTGTTATAAATAAAGGCATTCTTCTTCAATAAAATATGCTTTAGTATTAGATGGATGCTCGAGAACATTTCATAAATTATTTCATTAATTTATTATATATAATATTATATTAAACAGTTTTATATTATTATATTTTAGCTATTAATGATAAGTAATTATTTGCACTGTATCTAATGATTTATTTCAAATAGTGATACAATAATATTATTAATTAATACATAATTGTTACATTTTGATTAATGAAACGTATGGGTAAATTTTACTGAACTTATGAAACAAATACCTCTTTTCTTAAAGTTTCATTCATGTCTCGATCGTGCTACTCAGACATTTTCAACCTGATCCTTTTATCCCGCTAGTCCATTCTATTTACAAAGAGCCGAAATGCCACGACTAGACTGACTGACTTGGACAAAATAAAAGTATTGAACTGTGAAGTTGAGTGGTCCAAGGACGTCAAATATCTTGGTGTGACCCTGGACCATAGACTCAGCTCTTCAAAACATATTAATACGAAAATTGGACAGGCTTACGGGATGTTAAATCTACTGAGACTTCTCTTGAACCACAACAGCCCGCTAAGCGTGAAGAACAAGCGGACACTTTACTTGACACTCATAAGACCGTTACTGACATACGCCGCTCCAGCATGGAACGCGACAACTAACACTAACTTACGGAAACTACAGACATTACAAAATAAGACACTACGACTAGTACTTAACAAAATAAGGGACCCACTGACTAGACATTACTACTCTTCAAAATACATACACAAATAGACTTACGTACCGACTATATAAAAAAGCTCACTGAAAATTTTTATCTAAAATGTGGGGATCATCCTAATACTAACATTGCGGGTCTCGGGCAATATACTAGAGACGTAGTTTGGTATGGCAATCACGTCATGCCAAACTATATACTGATCGACCCATAGCGGCAAATGATACTTGGCTCGACACAGATTTTCCTTCAGTGCGAATGAATCTATTATTTTGTTATTCTTTTTTGTGTAATTATGTATTATTATAAATATTGCTTTGTGGCTTTTTTTTAGAGGAAAAGTTTTCTTTCCTCTTTTTTGCCACAAAATTTGTCACACATCTCGCTGTATTCACAATCAATATTCACTGTATATGTTAAGATCAATTATGTTATATAAAGTACCCAAGGGTAGAAAAATATATATTAAAAATAACAGTGATAAATGTATGGTCATATATTGTAATAAATACTTTTGTCTGTCTGACTGTGAGTGTCAACTCAACTTTTTGTTGGGTTTCATTTAGTTCAAATGAGCAATCAATTACTTCTGTCAGGATTCCCGTTCGCAACAATGCCTCGAGATCCGTTGGAGCAGAATCTGATTGGGTCGTCTCATCTGGACTTCGACTAGCGATCGCAACAGATTTCAAAGTCGTCGTCGATCTCCGAGTTGGATTGATTTTTGACATTAAATATTAAAGGAAAAACGTTGATTTTCTCTATATATAAATACTAGTTATTCTGCCAGTTATTATTAAACATAACGAGTATTTTAGCGTTGCAGCGGGTAAATTATCAATGTAATAACATTTGTACATTTAGAATTAGTTAGTGATTTCTTATACTAATGATTTTCTAAAAATATTTAATGTAGCTAAACGTTCGCCGGGTCAGCTAGTATATATATGAATTACGTGCGACCCGCCATAAAATTTGAAAATTTAAATAGGGCCGCGGTTTAAAACGGTTGCTCGCCCTTCATGTAGAGGATTAATAACCTGTCACTTGATATCGGCTCACTAGCGCCAAATCCTCACCTAGTTTTCGTTACTTTAAACACGGTTTGTGAACATGGAACGACGTCGTTACCAACCATTCGCTAGATGGTGCTGCGCCCAAGTTGTCATTCAAAACAAGTGCCATTGTGCAACTTGCCGTATGTGGGTAGGGGAATGCGCAAGATGGCCGAACAATACTAATACTGCGTTCCGTGTATATGTGTGATTTTTATTTACAATGTTTAATCAAACTGTCTGAACCGTAAAGTGCATTCAGTTAACAGTGCGTGCTATAATTTGTGATCGGTAGTTATAAACGGTGTGTCAAAAAAATATCTGTGCTTTGAAAGAAAATGTTTTTTACAAGCGTTTCCTAATTAATGCCGCCGCTTTCATCTTCTTTAATTTCTATGGAAGCTTGCCTTCGCAATGGAGACATGGTCAGTGGAATATCATTGCCGAGTTCGACATCGAGCCAGATTAAAGGATTTTCCAGTACCGATGGCTCTTTATCCCTTTACACTGCCTTATTCGACTACTCTGCTCAGGGGGAGGACGAACTGTCCCTTCAGAGGGGTCAAATAGTTGAAGTGTTATCAAAAGATGCCAAAATCTCAGGAGATGAGGGCTGGTGGACGGGAAAAATCGGCGATAAAGTTGGAATATTTCCTTCAAATTTTGTTGCCGAAGACGACCCCATTAGCGATGTCAATTCGGTTATGGGCGATATTCATCCCCAAGAAATTGATTTTAATGAATTGCAACTGCAAGAAGTTATTGGAGTTGGGGGTTTTGGCAAGGTATAAATTTTGTTTAAATAGTTAATATTGAATCTAACGGTCTACTATTATTAGTTGTCATTCATTTGCATCCGTAACTGTCAATTTGACAAGTCAACAATAATGACGTCTTTTGTTATAGAAAACTTGGGTATACTTTAAGACTTATCAAACTAAGCAAAAAATTCAATAATATGTTGCTGTAAAGTATTTTGAGTATTTATGTTTTAATCCATACATACATTCTGAAGTCCTGATATTTCAGTTTTTTTTTATTATAATATTGGGTTGAGAAAAAAGAAATCCATTATTTTTACGTAAACCTCAAGACTTTATTTAACATGTTTTGCATTGTCCGATTTAGGTCAAATATGCACCATTTTGTTCTATAATTCATAAAAGTCTTGGTCCTTATTACCAAAAAACTCCAGCAATTGATTTTCACACTCTTCATTTATTAAGGAATAATTTATTACGAGTTGCTTCCATATGGCCAAACATTAAATTCAGACATCTATTGTCAACAACTGGACCGTCTGAAGCCAAAACCAGAAACGGCCAAAATTGGCCAACAGAAGAGGTGTTGTGTTCCATCAGGACAACGCCAGGCCACACACTTCTATAGTGACTCGTCAGAAACTCCAGGAGCTTGGTTGGGAAGTTTTGATGCATCCACCATACAGTCCGGACCTCGCACCAAGCGATTACCATCTTTTCTTGCAAATTGGCATCAAGGGAAGAGTGTGAAAATCAATTGCTGGAGTTTTTCGCTAATAGGGACCAAGACTTTTATGAGAGAGGCATAATGAAGCTACCATTAAAATGGCAACAAATTATAGAACAAAATGGTGCTTATTTGACCTAAATCGGACAATGCAAAACATGTTAAATAAAGTCTTGAAGTTCACGTAAAAATAATGGATTTCTTTTTCCTCAACCCTATATATATTTGTCAGGCAGAAGTGCCTGGTATGAGGATCCATACAAAATATATAAACATATAATGAATTTATTTACATGTCATTGTATTTTCAATATCAACATTTCTAAATCATTCATTCAATTTTTCAATGATAGGTACATCTGTTTTTACATTAATCATTTCAGTTTTCTTTCTAATATTTTTTTCTTATTTCTGTCTTTCGGTAGCCTATAGAATAGTTTCATAGCACTTGATATAAAGTTTCTTCTGGATTTATTTGTTCTTGTTTGAAAATTTATCATACCCATTATTAGAATAATCTTAGTAAGAAATGCATTAATAAAATAAATTTAGAACAACTTTGATATTTAGTCTTATCTAATTAATAATGTGATGTACTTAACAGTTGCCGAGCCTATAATGTCTTGTGATAATAAAAAGTTTGGTAGTAATAGTAGCAGAAATATTAAATTACATATATTACAAATTATATTTAATAAAAATTTCAACCTAATTAAGAAATTGGACATGTTTATAATCTTTGTTTATAATTTTTTATTATTTCAAGGTATATCGTGGGTTTTGGAACAACCAAGAAGTGGCTGTGAAAGCAGCAAGACAAGATGCTGACGAAGACATTCAAATGACAATTGAAAGTGTTCGACAAGAAGCAAAGTTATTTTGGTTATTAAAGCATGAAAACATTGTGTCTTTACGTGGTGTGTGTCTAGAAGTGCCTAATTTGTGTCTTGTTATGGAATATGCTCGTGGAGGCTCTTTGAATAGGATTTTAGCTGGTCGTAAAATTAGACCAGATGTGTTAGTAGATTGGGCCATTCAAGTAGCTCGGGGTATGGATTATTTGCACAATGGAGCTGCCATCAGTTTGATACATAGGGATTTGAAAAGCTCAAATGGTGAGTTTTATGTTTTATACATATTAGACTAGTTAATTTTGAGATTGTTATGTATCTCAGGTGGATTAAAGGTTCAGGGATAATTTTTTCGACCTGAGCTATGTAAATCAATAACAAATTCTATTACATACAAAGTTGTATTCTTCAAATAATTGTGATTTAAAAAAGTCATTATCATCATCATCATCATTATCAATTGTATTGAAATATTGATAGAAATATAACTTTCTCTAACAAATGATAGAAAAATATATGATGCAAAGTAGAATGCAGCATTTATATCCATAAAAGTGCATCAAAATGTGTACATTTCATGGACTCTTACATTATCAATAAGTTTAATTACAATTAATATGTTTAAATTTAATGATTTATTATCTAATGAACTTAATTGTATTGAATTCTTTTAGACAATTATATTTCACATCACATACGAACATTCAGAATCTTTTCTAGGGGCCTCATTCTAATGAGTGTTACTTGCGATAAAATTAATACTGCCGATAATTACTTTTACTTATGACAACCATGAAACAACTTATATAATTTTAAAGAGGGTGTGTTTGCACCACTTGGCATACCATCTGTTATATGAATTATTCATACTTCCCGTAGGGCAAGTTATAGTAATCGCAAAAAAATCGAAAATGAAAATTTTTATATATATTTACGTTTCAAAACCTTCTGAACATCTTGGCATACCTTAGAAAAAAATGGATGTATGTGTGTGTGTGTATGTGCGTGTATGTATATGTGTTCGGATACAAATTTTCGTCGACGATTTCGGGAACACGGATGAAGCGATTTGAATAATTCTGAAAACATTCGATTTGTATTGATAAGGAGACGTGCTGATTAGTTTTTGGCGAAGGCAGGTCTATCCGTTTCGAAGATACGGGGCAAAAAGTGTCAAAAACGGTAACTCAGAACGGAGCATCCGATTTGAATAATTCAAAAAACATTCTACTTGTATTGACAAGATGAAGAATTGATCAAATTTTCATGAGGGCAGGTCTAGCGGTTTCGGAGATCTAATGAAAAAAGTAAAAAAAAATGCCATTTGGCGGTCAAAAATTATCATTAGACATATGCACATCAAATTATCAGATATTTTATAGAGATTTTAACAATAAGTATAAATTTTGTTTACATTCCTATGGGTTCCGTACCAATGCTTATGCGTTAGACGGCGGCGCGGCACTTTGACATTTCGTCTCTATGCAGTTCAAGCAGTACGATTGCTTTGAAAAAAAGTTCAGAATTTCCAATATATGTCAAAATAAAGAGAACATTTTTCTTTTAAAAAAAATTTTATTTTCAAAAAAAAAATTTTTTTTTCAAAAAAAAAATAATTTTTTGTCAAATTTATAGTTTCTCAAAAATCTAATTTTTTCGAAGTAAATTTTTTTCAAAAATGTTAATTGTTTTTAAAAAAATAATTTTTGGTTCGGGAAGTTCCAGCAATTTGCCTTAAGGCACGATGCACAATTGCCTCAAGACAGAATTCCACTTACAGCTAGTTTAAGTAATTGTATAGACCTTGGTGGTAATTTTCGAAGTATTTTATACCAACTTTATATTCTCTGGAGGCTTTATTTGCGTATCGCATAATCAGTCGCCTGACCGAGAAACTTGTCGGAACATGTGTTTCCGTTATCGCGTTGACGATTTACCAGTAGGGCGAAAGTAAACTGTCTCACGCCGATCCAATGTTGGATAATTTAATTAACGCCTATCTCAAATTCCCATTATCAAGAATTGACAAAATCTTTTGGTTAGATTTTATGTTTGTTATACTGTGTACAACAACTGTTGATTGCAAATAGTTTGAAAATTATTCCAAACTAGTGGTGTATGGCATCGTGCCTTAAGGCAAATTGCTGGAACTTCCCGTACCAGAATTATATATTCGATGGGAAAAAAAATCAGTAATCAATAAATATTGATTAATGATTAATAACAAATGTTTTAAACATTTTCAAATAGATAATTATAATCACTATATTTTATATTTTATTTATCGTTCATAAAATATACAGTGACGATCTTATCGCTCAAAACACTTGAGAAAATTTACATTAGCGGGCGTCCATTAATCACGTGAGCGAGTTTTTAAGGATTTTTGGACCCCCATCCCCCTTGGTGATACATGGTGATATTCAAAATTACCACCCCCCCTCCCCCACCAAACATCACGTGTATTTTCAATCACGTGATAACACTGTATATTATTTTAATTTTTTTGAAAACGTTTGAATTTTTTTAGAAAAATCAGTTAAAAAATAAATACACGTAATATCTTACTATACCCCTCCCTCACCCTCGTGATTTTTTGTCAAACCCACCTCCCCTTAAAAACCTCACGTGATTAATGGAAGCCCTCTTAGCAAGAGGTGCCGAAAAAATCCATCTGAGGATATATTTTTTACGATTGGAATAACATATTTGAAGTATATTCATTTTCAAACTGAATTGTAAATTTAAAATTTATATTTGAAGTATAAAATTTTGTATATTTTTGAAAATTTTGAAAAAAAAACTCTGAATTTTTTGAAATTTGCTTGAACAGTATATTATAACAGTATATTAAACTTTAAAAATTAACAATCTTGGTATGGAACCCAACAAAATTAGTCTTATTTTTAAAATTTTTATCAAATATCTGATGAATGATCATTTTTGGCCTCCAAATATATTTTTTTTTACTTTTTTCTTTGTATTTTACTACACGCTACACCTGCCTTACCAAAAATTTTATCAATTCTTCAATTCGTCAATACAATTAAAATGTTTTTTGAATCATTCAAATCGGGTGCTCCGAAACTCCAAAACTGAATTACCGTTTTTGGCACTTTTTGCCCCGTATCTTCGAAACGGCTGGACCTGTCTTCACCAAAAACTAATTAGCACGTCTTCTCATCAATAGGAATCGAATTTTTTTTTTGAATCATTCAAATCGGTTGATTCGTGCGCCCGAAATCGTGGACAAAAATACAATTTTCAAAACATACACAGACACACGTACATCAATTTTTTCTAAGGTATGCTAAATTGTTCAAAAACCTTTAAAACGTGAAGATATGCAAAGATGTTCATTTTCGATTTTTTTGCGATTACTATAACTTACCCTACGGTAATAAATCATATTTTCATAATTTTGGTGTATCCTGTATCACAAAAAGCACTTCTTCCCATTGTACATATTTCACACTTTAACTTTGTTTTATTCTTCTGTAATTTGTCAAATTTAATTCATTCACATACAAATCGACCATCACAAGTATTATGTTTGGGACATAACTTGTGGGTTAGTAGATCTAGTTTTATCGAACCAGGTTCTATAAGCCCCGTTCGTACTACCTGATATCAAGCAGTAGTAAAGCCGATGCCACTACTGGCAATATGTTTTCAAGTAAAAATAGCCCTTCTTCGGCATTGCTGCATTAAATTAAAATTAATTATAAGTATGTATTAGAGAAATTCTCCGTTTCGCCACCAGATGGTTTAGTGAGAAAGATGAAGAAATTTTTTGTTTGTTTGAAAAGGAAAAAATTGATTTTATTGCACAACGGTAATGAATTTATTTCGATTACAAAAATGAAGTGTTTTTTAGTTGAACTTCTCTAAGTAAATGAAAGTGAATCCGCAAATTATCCGTTTCATTGAAGTGCTCTTTGGTAAACCACATTTTTTGTTTTTTGCTCTGACGTTAACATAAACAAAGCGGATGGTTTTCCAACTCGTGAGCAGGCAACGTGTAACTGCCCATGTGAAAAACAATGATTTTCAAATGCCATGCACCACTAATTTTCTTAGCTATAAATCTTGCGGAGCCCTGAGACCTTTCCAACGAATGCAAAATTGTCGAAATCGGTTCGTGCGTTCTGGAGTTAAATCGTCAGGAAGGAAAACCCGACTTATTTTTATATATATGCAGATAAACCCATATTTTCACTTTAATTCTAACTTACTCTGTGATTGACTAATATACTCGTCATGAACTCGGTTCGGATGACACAAAACTGTATGCACGGTTTGATGTGAGCGCCACATTTAACTGGTTAAAATCTATCCTAATAATTTTTGTTGACCTTTCGTAAGTTCATATATCCGAAATATATTTGGCTATGATCCAGATGTAGTATTCCAACTATAGGTCAAAATTTCTTTTTTAGTTCGATGTTTTTTCTGCTATGAATACTCTTGAGCTCGAATGTCATGAATAGCATATAAAAATAATCTATACTTCATTGAGTTATCTCGAAAATAAAAAAATATTTCTTCATATGAATTTGTAACTTAATATTATCTATCTAATAAAAAAATAATAATCTTTTGAAGATATGCTTATTGGTATATTTGATCTGTTTATATAATCAATGAGAAATTAAAATTTTATTTTTATCTGTTCTTCAAATCATGTCATATCATCTCAGCTAGCAAAAATTATGAATTTGTTATTGTAAACTAATATCTTCTTCGAATGTTTTTTATTATCATTGTGATCGATAGAGTTTAATGTAATTCTATACTGTTTACTATTAGTTAAATAACATTCTCGTATCAACTAATATAAACAGTAGAGCGAGCTTGTAGTTCTTGAAGGCCATACTGGTTTTAAAGTTTTAAGAAATTTAAATAGCAACTTGATTATGAATAATTAAAAAACAAGTATAAAATCAAAATAAAAACATACAGTTTATTCTTTTAAAAAAATCCGATTCGCTAATTTTATGTTTTCGACGTTTCAAGCCATTCTGAATTGAATGAGACCAAATTTGGAAAAAGTATATGTGTCTGTGTATGTGTATGTGAACAGATTTTTTGCCGTAAATCGACATTTTCTCAAAAACGGCTGGACCGATTTCAAAAATTTAAAAGCCATTCGATGTATCTCGATGAGGACTATTGTTTGTCAGTTTTGTGCGACGATCGGCAAAGCCGTTTCTTTATAAACCGCAGAAAAGTGAAAAAATTTTCGTCTACGTTTTAGCCCCAGA